GTCCTTGTACCTCCAATTTTAGCGTTTACTATCATATGTCCCCCTGCTGCGCTCTGTTTTGAATGCGAAGCTGCATCTTTGAGACGTCGACAGGTCCACACGTGCTGCAATATGGAAAGATGTTTTGTGTGTGCGTGTGTGTGTGTGTGTGTGTGTGTCCCTCTCTACTTTCACATCCACCCCTCTCCTCCTCCGCTCCCCCCCACCACCTCCTCCTCCTCCTCCTCCTCCTCCTCCTCCTCCTCCTCCTCCTCCTCCTCATCATCATCATCATCATCATCATCATCACCATCGTCATCAGCCTTATCCACCTCACATACGTCCTTCTCATGCTCCTCCTTCTGCTACTCCCACCTCCGCTCCCGACACGTACTCCTGCCTCCTGTCCTGTCGCTGCGCCTCCCGTCCTCCCCGCACCCCCCCCCTATCCGCGATCTTCCCGCGAGAGACCCCACGACACACTGGACATCCGCGACGAGGTGTGATCCAGAACTCGCTCTGGATCCGACTGGCCCGATCGCGTCGGGCCCTGGCCCATTCGAGCGCGTCGGGCCAGGCTCGTGTCAGGTCGGGCCTGTCCCCCTACAGGGGGATTCAGGGGGATTTTGGACGACAAGTTGAAAATACCCAGAAAATTCTTCCCAAAAGCTCAAACATAATCAAAAAATCGTCTCCAGACTATCTTTTGATAAGTTTTGGATTCTCCTCCTGTAGTAGAGGGACAGCCCGACTTAAGGCTCGTGATCGCCCGCACCAGGCCCCGTCCGCCTCCTTGGCCTTCTTGGCCTTCCTGGCCTTCTTTGTCGCGGGCTCCGGCTCCGCGGCGTCGGCGTCGGCGTCTACGTCGGCCTTCTTCTTCCTGCTGGTCTGGGGCGACTGGGCCTCGTTACTCCTGTTTCCTAAGATCTGCATCCTCCTGTTCTCCTTGCATTACCCCCACCCATTTGCCCCCCCCCGGCAGAAGTTCCATCACACCTCCCTCCTTCGCTCCAACCTCCCCCTTCCATCTTCGTCACTCTTCCTCCATCTGGAAGGGGGGGCACGAGGGGGGGCGGAATGAGAGAATCCCTCCCTGCGTTCCGGCCCTGATCCCGACGACGATGCGCAAATCCATTTCTTGCGTCGCAGGGGATGAATGCCACATGGCCACATGCCACACACACGGAGGCGCTCCCTCCGCCGGGAGGGGCAAAAGGCCGCTGGCGCAAGACTCCCCGCTCCGAGGGAAGCCCAATGTAACACTGCTGGATGGGGTGGCAATCCCCAAAGCAAGCCGCCCTGGAAGAGGCACAACACACGATTTGGTATCCGAGCCGGGGGCAAGCGACCACCTCTAGGCACAGCTTTAGGTCGAGCATGTCCTCCTACAGGCGGATTTTGGAGGAAAACTAAAAGATGATCCAAAAGTATTCAAAATAGTCAAACACAACAGGAAAATCGTCCCCCGACTATTTTTTTCACTATTTTCTTGACCATTCCTCCTGTAGAGAGACAGGCCCGACTTGCGCACCGCACGCGCCTGCATGCCAGGTCGCGCCCCTGCGCGTCCGCCGGGAGCGTGCGCACGCGTCGAGGCGCCACCTCCCGAGCACGGCCCGCGCCAACGAGCCGCGCGCGCCCCGCATCCGCAGGGAGACCGCGCCCTGACGCCTCGCGGGAGGCACGGCCTGCCGCGCGCCCCCGCGTCCGTCCGCAGGGAGGCGCCGGAGGGCCTCCGAGCGCCCCTGGGCAAGGCTCGCGCCCGCAGGCTGTTCGCGCAGGGCGCGTGCGCAGGCGCGCGCCCGAGCGTCCCACTCCTCCTCCTCCCCCTCCTCCTCCTCCTCCTCCTCCTCCTCCTCCTCCTCCTCCTCCTCCACCTCCTCCTCCTCCTCCTCCTCCTCCTCCTCCTCCTCCTCCTCCTCCTCCTCCTCCTCCCCCTCCTCCTCCTCCTCCGCCTCCTCCTCCTCCGCCTCCTCCTCCTCCTCCTCCTCCTCCTCCTCCTCCTCCTCCTCCTCCTCCTCCTCCCGTGGCCCGAGAGCGCCGCGCGCCCCGCAGCAGCAGGGAGACCGTGCCCCGACGCCTCCCAGCGAGAATGGGAGCACGGCGCGCTCCTGCATAGCTCGCTGCAGCCCGCCCCTGCGCCCGCAGGGAGCGTCGCGCAGCGGCTGGCAGGGACAAGAGAGAGAGAGAGAGATATATATATATATATATAGATATATTGAGAGAGAGAGAGAGAGAGAGAGAGAGAGAGAGATAGAGAGAAAAAAAAAAAAAACGGGAACGGGGACGGGGGGGGCGAGAGGGGGGCGCGGGAGCAGAGATGGAGCGGAGGGGGAAAGGGGAGAGGAAGAAAGGGGGGCGCAGGGCGGAGGACGGGGAGAGGGGTGGCAAAGGGCCACGCGAGCGCGACTGTGGGCGGGCTCCCCGCCCCCCCCCCCCCCGCCCGGGTCCTCTTGAGTTTCCTTTTCTTCTTGGGCGCCTCGTCGGCCGCGTCCTCGCACAAGCTCGGCGAGAGGAGCATGGCGAGGCAGAGGCCCCAGAGGGGAGCAGGGGGAGAGGAGCAGGAACCCGAGAGCTCGAAGGATCAGGCTTGAAAGTAGGGGCAGGAACACAGGCGGAGGCAGGAGCTCGAGAGGACCTCCTCCAGCCCCTCCTGCCTGATCCTGCTCGTCCCTCCTGCCCTTCTCTCCTCCTCCTCCTCCTCCTCCTTCTCCTCATCAGCATCATCATCAGCATCATCGGCATCATCATCATCATCATCATCATCATCATCATCATCATCAGCATCATCATCATCAGCATCAGCATCATCATCATCATCATCATAATCCTCATCATCCTCATCCTCATCCTCATCATCATCGTCGTCGTCAGCAGTAGCATCATCATCATCGTCATCATCATCAGCATCAGTATCAGCATCATCATCAGCACTATCAGTATCATCATCATCATCATCATCATCATCATCATCATCAGCATCACCATCATGATCATCATTTTCGTCCTCATCATCATCATCAGCATCATCATAATCATCCGATTGCTCCTCCTCTTTCTCTCCCTTGTTCTCTTCCATCTTCTCCTCCTCCTCCTCCTCTTCATCATCATCTCTATCATCATCACCACCATCACCTCATCACCATCACCATCACCATCACCAGCATCGGCATCAGCATCATCATCACCATCACCTCATCACCTCATTATCATCACCTTCATCATCGTCATAATCATCATCCTCATCATCATCTTCATCTTCATCATCATCATCATCATCATCATCATCATCAGCATCAGCATCATCATCATAATCATAATAATCATCATCATCATCAGCATCAGCATCATCATCATCAGCATCAGCATCATCATCATCATCATCATCATCATCATCATCATCATCATCATCCTTCTCCCTCCTCGTTCTGCTCCTGCTCTTGCTCCTGCTCCTTCTCCCTCCTCGTTCTGCTCCTCCTCGTCCTCCTCCTCCCTCCCTCCCTCCTTCCACTATCTGACCGCATTTATGGCTAATCAGGTCGCAATTCAAAATTCCCTCCCTCCCTTCCCTCCTCCTCCTCCTCCTCCTCCTCTTCCTGATCCTCCTCCCCTTCCCCCTGCCTCATCATCCTCCCCTTCCCCCTCCCTTCCGTTCCCTCCTCCCCCTCCTCCTCCTCCTGCTCCTCCTCCTTTCCGATTTGTACACGAAAACGAATCGATGATTTTTGTGTGACAGCGCGAGTCAGCGCGCGCACGAGTTGTTCGCTTGAACCAAGCGACGTCGGCAACGACATCCGTCTGACCCTCGCTCTAGGACGTCCTCACTTAGTCGTAACGCTACATGCTAACACCCTCCTTCTGCTAAGTAGCCGAATGTGGAGACGGAGGAGAGTCTAGCAACTGGCTTACAGGGCGGCGGATGTCTTTTTGTAGAACCCCCTTCACCTTCTCATACATACAATGTTTTTGTTTGTGCTCCATTTCCTCTGGCCGAGCTTCGATTGTGAGTTCAAGGTCTAACTCGGCCCCTGGCGCATGGCCCCGCACTTGCTTTTGTTCATCATATCCACGGCATACGACATATACATAATTGCGTGTAGCTGGCATCATGCTCCCTATCTCATAGCAGGCCTCGCAAATCCCACCAGCCCTCTGGGCGTAGGTGGTTTAGGGAATTTCCTCTTCCACCCCTCCTTCTTCCACTTCGGGGAAGGGTTTATCACTGTTCCCTATTAATAAACACCCCCTCCCCCGAACGACTGGGCGCCAACCCGGGTCCATGCCGACACCCCCCACCATCCTTTGTAAAAACAAACAATACAAACACACAGCTTGCCTCCAAAATCGGAAGATGCGCAACCAACCCGATGCGCCCCCCCCACACCATCCCTGTCAAAAAACAATACAGGGTACACGTGGCGGCGGCGGCGGCGGCTGCGGCGGGTGCGGCGGGTGCGGCGGGTGCGGCGGCGGCGGCTGCGGCGGCTGCGGCGGCGGCGGCGGCGGCGGCGGCGGCGGCGGGGCGGCGTCCGTCGGCGGCGGCGGCTGCGGCGGCGGCGGCGGCGGTGGCGGCAGCGGCTGCGGCGGCGGTTAGGCAGCGGCGTCGGCGGCGGCGGCGGCGGCGGCGGCGGCGGCGGCGGATTGGCCCCCAGTAGCTGCCCATCCAAAGACGACTGCTGAATAGGCTGAGGCTCGGCCCAGACTCGGGTGTCACGTATGTGTTGGGAGGGCGGGTGGGAGTGAGCGAGGCGGCTTGCGGGCGGGGAGGGGGTAACTTGATCACTGTTCCCTATTAATAAACACCCCCTCCCCCAGGCGACTGGGGGCCAACCAGGGTCCATGCCGACACCCCACCACCACCATCCCTTGTAAATTATCCCGGCAAAGCAACCTAACAGCGATATGTAGAAGCATATCTGAAAGCATTCCCCTTAAGATTCAGATGAAAATCCAGTTGTCGAATTCTGCTGTTCTCGCAGTCGTAGTCGCATTCGCGATGACAGTCGCAGCGGCAACGGCAGTCGCAGTCACAGCCTCAGCCTCACAGCCTCAGCCTCAGCCTCAGCCTCAGCCTCAGCCTCAGCCTCAGCCTCAGCCTCAGCCTCAGCCTCAGCCTGCCTCAGCCTCAGCCTCAGCCTCAGCCTCAGCCTCAGCCTCAGCCTGCTTCAGCCTCAGCCTCAGCCTCGGCCTCAGTCTGCCTTCAGCCTCGGCCTCAGCCTCAGCCTGCCTCGGCCTCAGCCCTGCATCAGCCTCAGCCTCAGCCTCAGCCTGCCTCAGCATCAGCCTGCCTCAGCCTCAGCCTCAGCCTGCCTCAGCCTCAGCCTCAGCTGCCTCAGCCTCAGCCTCAGTCTGCCTTCAGCCTCAGGCCTCAGCCTCAGCCTGCCTCAGCCTCAGCCTGCCTCGGCCGCAGCATCAGCCTGCCTCAGCATTCAAAATTTGGCCCAGGAATGGAGTTCTGGGAACTAGAAGAACACGAAGTGGCCTACAGTTGGCTCCGGGCATTCAAAATCATGCCCAGGAATGGAGTTCTGGGAACTTGAAGAGCACGAAGTGGCCTACAGTTGGCTCCGGGCATCCAAAATGTGGCCCGGGAATGGAGTTCTGGGAAATCGAAGAGCACGAAGTGGCCTACAGTTGGCTCCGGGCATCCAAAATGTGGCCCGGAAATGGAGTTCTGGGAATCGAAGAGCACGAAGTGGCCTACAGTTGGCTCCGGGCATCCAAAATGTGGCCCGGGAATGGAGTTCTGGGAGCACCAAGAGCGATTTTGCGAGGATGTCCGAAGCGATTTCGGCTTCGGCGGCAGCCGCGGCGGCAGCCTGTCCGGGTCCCGCCCCGACCCCCCTGTGGAGTCATCTGCTGCTCTCTTTTGAGACCACTAGAAACCTATCAGCAAGAGCTGTTAGGTAAAAACCATGTTATCCCGGCAAAGCAACCTAACAGCGATGTGTAGAAGCATATCTGAAAGCACTCCCCTTAAGATTCAGATGAAAATCCAGTTGTAGAATTCTGCTGTTCTCGCAGTCGTAGTCGCATTCGCGATGACAGTCGCAGCGGCAACGGCAGTCGCAGTCACAGCCTCAGCCTCAGCCTGCCTCAGCCTCAGCCTCAGCCTGCCTCAGCCTCAGCCTGCCTCAGCCTCAGCCTCAGCCTGCTTCAGCCTCAGCCTCAGTCTGCCTTCAGCCTCGGCCTCAGCCTCAGCCTGCCTCAGCCTCAGCCTGCATCAGCCTCAGCCTCAGCCTCAGCCTGCCTCAGCATCAGCCTGCTTCAGCCTCAGCCTCAGCCTGCCTCAGCCTCAGCCTCAGTCTGCTTCAGCCTCAGCCTCAGTCTGCCTTCAGCCTCGGCCTCAGCCTCAGCCTGCCTCAGCCTCAGCCTGCCTCGGCCGCAGCATCAGCCTGCCTCAGCATTCAAAATGTGGCCCAGGAGTGGAGTTCTGGGAACTAGAAAAGCACGAAGTGGCCTACAGTTGGCTCCGGGCATCCAAAATGTGGCCCGGGAATGGAGTTCTGGGAACTCGAAGACACGAAGTGGCCTACAGTTGGCTCCGGGCATTCAAAATGTGGCCCGGGAATGGAGTTCTGGGACTCGAAGACCACGAAGTGGCCTACAGTTGGCTCCGGGCATTCAAAATGTGGCCCGGGAATGGAGTTCTGGAACTCGAAGACCACGAAGTGGCCTACAGTGGGCTCCAGGCATTCAAAATGTGCCCGGGAATGGAGTTCTGGGGACTCGAAGACCACGAAGTGGCCTACAGTTGGCTCCGGGCATTCAAAATGTGGCCCGGGAATGGAGTTCTGGGAACTCGAAGAGCACGAAGTGGCCTACAGTTGGCTCCGGGCATTCAAAATGTGGCTCGGGAATGGAGTTCTGGGGACTCGAAGAGCACGAAGTGTGTGACTGTTGGCTTAAAACGACTTCTGCGGCACCCTGTCCGGCACCCGCCCAGACCCCCCTGTGGAGTCATCTGCTGCTCTCTTTTGAGTCAACTATAAACCTATCAGTTTTCGCTGTTAGGTAATTATCCCGGCAAAGCAACCTAACAGCGATGTGTAGAAGCATATCTGAAAACATTCCCCTTAAGATTCAGATGAAGATCCAGTTGTAGAATTCTGCTGTTCTCGCAGTCGTAGTCGCATTCGCGATGACAGTCGCAGCGGCAACGGCAGTCGCAGTCACAGCCTCAGCCTCAGCCTGCCTCAGCCTCAGCCTGCCTCAGCCTCAGCCTGACTCAGCCTCAGCCTCAGCCTGCTTCAGCCTCAGCCTCAGTCTGCCTTCAGCCTCGGCCTCAGCCTCAGCCTGCCTCAGCCTCAGCCTGCTTCAGCCTCAGCCTCAGCCTCAGCCTGTCTCAGCATCAGCCTGCTTCAGCCTCAGCCTCAGCCTGCCTCAGCCTCAGCCTCAGTTTGCTTCAGCCTCAGCCTCAGTCTGCCTTCAGCCTCAGCCTGCCTCAGCCTCAGCCTGCCTCGCCTCAGCATCAGCCTGCCTCAGCATTCAAAATGTGGCCCAGGAATGGAGTTCTGGGAA